GCGGCGGGGCTTCTCAGAAACCCTCGCGCCGTCCGAGAAGTGTTCTAAGTCTTCGGAGAAGGCTCAAAACACTTCCCAGAAGGCCCGAGGCCCCTGATGCTTCTGTGAAGGCCCGCCCCCTCTCACTTCCCTCTGGGCTTGCCGCCGAAATAACAAAAATCACGCTTGTGCGGCAAGCGTAGCCCGCCACGCCAACACATCGGGAGGAGACGATGGGTGGAACTGACACGCACGACGACGCGCACACACACAGACACACACACGCACACACACACACCAGTGGGGCGCGATCAACGGCTCAAGGAACCCTAAGGCAAGACATGCTCAAAACAAGTTGACCACCCTGTGCGGGAACGCAAGCCAAGTTGAACTCCCCAGTGAAACTGACACGCGCACACAGATCTGTACACACATATGCGTCTATATGGGCAGAATGCATGTGTATACATATATATATATATACACAAGACTGCAGTGGCGCTTCGCGCCATGCCCCTTGGTCCTTGAAGATTGGTATGCAAGCGGAAAAAAACAGGAAGGTCAAGCGGACAATTTTGCGATAACTCCTTGCTGCCTTTTCTGGCATCGCCATTATAATAATGTTGTTCGTTAATCTCCCGCCTCCATGCTCATGTTTCCTCATTCTCGCCATACCCTGAGTATTCTGCCCATCCTCCTCAGCTCGTTTTGCGGAGGCTCCTCCTTGGAGAGCCTCTGGGGGCCTCACCAAAGTTCTCAAGCTTTCTTAAAGCCTTCTGGAGGCCTCCTGGGCGTGTTCTGGGGGCCTCTGGGGCTTCCTAAGGCCAACCTGCCTCTAACCGCAGTCTCCCTGAACGCCCTGGTCACGATTTGGAATGCTTCGGAGGTTGTCTTGGGGCCAGTTTGGGCCGCCATGGGGCTCTCTTAGGGCCATTTTGGACCCCTGTTGTGCCGTTCTGGGGCTCTATTGTACTGCCTGGAAGCCCTCTCGGATGGTTGCGGACGCCCAGAAGACCGCTGTCTTGGAGCGTCGGGGAGCCGAAAAGAGGAGAACCCGAAATTCACCAAACACCTACATTAAATCTATGATTATTCCCTCTTGGGGCCTTCTTGGGGGTGCTCTTGGAGGCCTCTTGGTACGTTTTGGAACGATCTTTCGGGGTATGACGGCTTCTTGGAGCGCTCTTGTGCTGTCTTGGGGTTCTCTGGGACGTCTCCGATGACCCCCCTGATCGCCCTAGGTGTGCTGCGAAGGCTTGGCAAAACGCCCTGTGAGGCCCGGGGGGCCGCTTCGAGGCAAGTCCGAAGGGTCCCAAAGCCCCAGACCCCGGGAGTCAGTTTTTTTTTGGGGGGGGGGCGGGTTTTCCCCCCGCCCGGGCATGTAAAAATATAGGACGAGGAATATGCATGTTTACATGTGTGTATCTATGTATGTACACAGAAATATGGCGCCACGGTCACGATATAATCGGAACGGGAGCGAGCATATTCAGCGGATCCTATATGGAGGATGGGCGTCACCTCCGTTGAAAGCGGCAAGCGGGATGTGGAAAAACTGATACCGGAACATCCATGTTCATTTACGCAAGCACATTCGCATATACCTACGAACGTTAATACACATACTCATATTTATCGGCAAGCCCTCGCTGCGCGACGAACTGGTTTCAGCGTCAGCACGGAGGCAGAGCCGGAGCGGGCGCGTGCTTATACTTTGTTACTTCTTGGCCTGTAGATCCAACGCGGCGGCTCCTATGGCGGGACACGCAGTAAATCAATTACCGCACAGCCTTTGCCAGTGGATGTTCATGACGTGGCTGGCGCATGCGCAGAGAAAGCAGGCCAGAACCTATTCACAGGGAAGATTACGAGATGCAGCGGGGTGCGGGCACAACGCTGGAAAAACTGCAGGCGCTGACACGTACACGCACACGGACACCCTCCCAGACGCTGCGCTGGTCTCGCCCTGGTTGCGGGCGACGCACGAGCTCCAGACGCGCACGCTGCCTTTCCCCCCGAGCAGTCGACCAATGGTGGAAATATGTTAGTGCCCTCGAGATTTGACCCAAACCAGCAGCAATGAAACAGAACATGCGGAAACCGATGCCGAAGGCTGCGCTAAGATACAGCGCTCACCCCCCGACACTCCTCCTCAGTCAAGCGCTAGCCTGGCGGTTCACAGGAGCAACTTACCGTGGACAAAATCGACGTTGTCCGAATCCTCCACGTCGGCCCACCTATGAGGTTTCACCCCTCGCTCGTCCTGCCGCGGGGCCCTGAACCAGACTGCCTCCATCGGCGTTGTCGCAATCAAGATCGAAAAGGATTTCGTGAGCATGTCTGCTGGGCTGACCGCGCCATAATCTTGCTGAAGTCGGTGAGGCGCCTTCGTTTTACGACATCCTGAAACCACAGAAACCGCATTCCGAGGTGGCGGATCCTCCCCAGGCAGGAACGCGACGCTGCCGGTTTTCGCCGCGGAGCTGTCGATATGGAACCTCAATTGTGGACTCCATATCAGATCGTTCATGATGGACATCATGTCGAGCCCCTCCGCTGCTCTCCAGGCGGCCGCGTAGAACTCCGCTCCCCTGCTGGACTGAGCGACGCGTCTTCACGACGCCTCCGTCCACTACCATCGCACCGCCTGACGTGCTCCGCCGGGTCCTATGGCACCCAGCCCAATCCGAATCGGTGTAGACGTCCACGTATCTCCCCCAGTCGGACAACAGCGGGCGGAAAGGAAACACGAATCCCTGGTACCTCAAGAGATACCGGGCCAACCGCTTAAGCATGGCAGCGCCTGCGCGAGCAGGACGCGACATGTCCCTGCTGATCTCCTTTGTGGCGAACTGGATATCCATACTGTGTGCTGCTAGATAATTCGCCCGTGCGGCCAATGCCCTGAACTGCCAGGCTCCCGCATCGATCAAAACTTCGTTCTCCAACCCTGCAATCCCCCCCCTCCTCCTTCACGCTTGGGACATCGATCCCCCTTCAAGTCCTCGGACAAATCGGGAGGCGTCAGAGGCTCCTTTACGTTCTTTGCGGCCCCCTCGCACTCTGCGCCCTTTTCCGCCTCAGCGAGCGCCCAGTTCAGGATAATGAATGTCTTCTCGTACCACATCTCATCGCCCAAAACGCCTCGGACTGCGATGTCCTTTTGTTCCTTCATCTTCCGAGAAAGGGCCTCCAACGCCTCCCGCTCTCCAGGGAAGGAGGAACCCTCTCCGTGGACGACGCGCCTCACGTCGTGTTCCTCCCCGTAGAATGCAGTCGGCGCCGCCCGCCCCTGCTTGAATCAAATTTCCTCGAGCGTCTTAGAATTCTCGTTTTCCCGCGCCGCGTCCGCCGGCCTCATCCCATGCAACCATCGCCGCAAACGTCCGCAGATCCCCGTCGCGCCGGCCTTCCCTGGCAGCTCGGCATACGCGAATTCCCGTCCTTTAGCATTCCCTGCAGGTGGGCCTTCTTCACGTCAGTGAGCATGAGTGTGATGCCGTTTCTGTCATTTTCTCCTCCTCGCGGCATTGTCGCTCGCCGCTTTCTCGAACATGACCTTTTTCGCTTCCAGAGGAGGCGTGGCTGCGAAAAGGCCCCCTCAGTCCTTTTCCGATTTCGGTTTGACGCCCCTCGCCACCATTATATTTGTTGGTCGTCGCCCATTTCATCGACATCGGCGGCTTCCCTGTGGTTTCCCAGGATTCCTCCACCAACGCCTCCTGGCAGAGCCCACTTTTCTTCACGTGGCCCATTCCTTCTGCCATCGCCTTCGCTAACTGCCAACCTCGGGTCTATCAGCGCCCCCGTCCTCTGGTCGACACTGCCCTCGCTTTCGCCAAACCAATCGTCCTCCAACTCGTCTTCGTGCTCGTCGATGACCTCGTACCTTGCCACTGCCATCGCATCCTGGACACCTTCCTCAAATGCCTCTCGAACATCTCCCTCTTTTTTCCTGTTATCGCCCCATTTCGGCCCGCATCTTTGGCTGCTTCCCGGGCTTCTCATCCCTTTCCTCCTCTCTGCGTTTTCGCTGTCGCTTTTCTGGCAATCCTCGTCCTCCCTTTTCGTTGCTTTGCATATCCCCTGCTCCTCCTCCTCCTCCTCCTCCTCCTCCTCCTCCTCCTCCTCCTCCTCCTCCTCCTCCTCCTCATCCCAGGTCGTCCTCTTCCAGGCTCCGCTTCTTCTCCTCCAGAACGCGCCCGCCGCTGTTCGAACTGCCACTTTGCCCCTCCTGGTTGGTCTGTTCGCCGTGGCCATTCTCATTTTGCGTCTTGGCCTTCTCCCTCCCGCGGTCTTGCATCCCCAAGCATCTTCGTCAGCCGAACCTCTCGCCGGCCCGCTTCACCCTGGGATCGTCTGCCAACAACTCCCCATTCGCTTCCTGCACTTTTCGCTGTGGGCATTCGCAAGCCCGTCCGCCTTGCAGCCCGCAGCGCTCCGTGGCACCACCGCCGAATCTGGTTCGATCGCCCTACCCCCCGCTGGCTTTGCTTTCATTGTGATGACGTCCAGTTTCTCGCCGTCAGCGCTCTTGCCATCCCACCGTTCGCTCATAGGTTTTCTCACCATGGCCCGCGTTTTCCACACTTTTGTCCTGTCGCCGATGAAATATTCGCCCGCGCGGTCTTTGACCCCCAAGAAAAAAAACACATCCTCCCACATGAAGGTCAGTTTCCCCAGCGCACCTCCGACTGGTTTCCACCTCCACAACACTCCATCGCCGAATTCACCTCCTGAGCCTTTCGCTTTCTTACCATAGCATCTCTCGTAGGCGGCGTTGCCGTCGCGCCGCACCTCGAACGCATCTAGCAGGAGGGCCACGCACTCCACAAGCCAATGGATCACGGCACTCTTCGACGGCACGTTCACGCCCCATCGCTCCCCCAGTTTGCCCCCCATGGCCCTCGCCTGGCCCTCGACGCTTTGAGTCGCCGTCTCCACCGCCCAATTGCTTGCGCGCGATGCCACCGGTGAGTTGTCAACCAGCAACCTGCCTCCTAAACCCGCCTTCCTCCTACCGATCTCGCCCGCCAGGCTCGCAAACGCCGGCCGCTCGCCTGACTTCATCGCCAAGTCTGACCTCTTTCGGCCCGACCTCCTTCGTAAATGTCAGCGCTCTCTTCACCGCGAATTCGCCGGTGCCCCTCCTGGGCACCGCCTGTGCCGCGTCATCCTGTCCGCGCGCGCCCTGGCTACCAGCGTTGCTACTGCGTTGCCTGCGTCGCCCCCGCCCCCCATGAGCGCGCCGTCCACGCGTGCGTCCGCAGACCCCTTGCGGGTCTCTAGGCGCGTGAAACAACCCCCCCCTATAATCGCCCCCCGGAGGCCCCAAACCAGCAATTTGACCCCCCCACCGCCCCGGCGCGACCCCGGACCGACAGCGCCGCGGGGGGGCGGAGGGCTCCAACGCGGGCCAAGAAGGCGCCAAAACGCTTCCCTGACGGTGCCAGAGGGCCACGAGTCGCCGAAATATCACTCCCTGACGCCCACGGTGGCCTCCAGACGGCCTCCGAAGCTGCCGAGAGGCCCCAGAAGGCCCCCAAGACGCATGCAAAGAGGGCCTCAAGAAACAAAAATCGCCCCATTCGCTTTTGAAAAAAAAAATTCTCGCAAGCTCGCCATTTCGGCATGCGCAACGTCCAAGACGTGCAAAGAAACAATCAATATCGCCCCCGGACGGCCGAAGGGGCCCCCAAGAGGGGTCGACGAGGGTCCAAAAACAACCCGCGAATCCCCCGAGACAGCGCAAGAGGGCCACCAGACGGTAAAACTGTAAAGAAGTTGAAAGGTTGGTCCAAGATGCCTCGAGGCGGCTGGACGCGGCCTGCAGACAAGGCAACGCGCCGCCAAAGGGCCGCACAAGAGCACCAAGAGGTGCGACAACAGCAAAAAAACAACAAGAACGACGTCGAGCGCCGTGTCAGGATTCGGACAAACCTCGTGAAAGGCAGCCCTGGAGACCCAATTGTTTATATAAGGGTCGGCGGGCATGGCGTGAGCCCATGGAATCCACGTTCGGAAGTGACGCGCTGAGCGGCGGCCTTGTCTGCGGAAACAATAATGCAACGTACCCAACGTATCCAATTGTTGCAAGATTGCTAAATGTTGCATTGCGTTGCCTTATCACGCCCCCCCCCCTGCCCCCCCCCCCCCAGGGGTCACGCCGCGCCAGTCGACCCAAAAGTGGCGACCTCTTTGGGGGGCCCCCAAACCGACCAAAACCTGTATAAAATCAATGATTTCGGCTCCTTGGGCCTCTTGGGGGGGGCCGCGAGGGCGCTGGGGCGGGTCAAGATGGCCTCTGCGCGGGCCAAGACGGCCCCAAGACGGCCCCCATGGGGGGCCAACGAGGCCACGGGAAGGCCCGGGGCGGCCCCAGAAGGGCCCCCAAGAGCGCCTCCAGAAGCCCAAATTTTTCATGTCCCTATGTTTTTTTTGTGGAAGATTTCAGCATTCCCGCTCATTGGCTCTCAAAGGTCCAGGACGGCCGGAACAACCTCCGAAATGGCCCCAAGACGGCCAAATAACCCTTCGAAGAGGGGCCCCAAAACGGCCCAAGAGGGCCCCCAGACAGACCAAGGAGGCCGCCGAGATGCCCCGAGAGGCCCCCAAGACGGCCCAAGAGCAACCCCAGAACAGTACCCGAAAGGACCAGACAGCGCAAGAGCGCCCCCAAGACGCACGCGCGACGCTTCGAGAGGCCCCCAGGAGGCCTCCCAGAGGCCCCCAAGAGGTCTCCCAGACGCCCCCGCGAGGGCCCGAGAGACCACGCGAGGCCTCCAATGGGCCCCCAAACAGTTCCCAGAGGCCCGACAACGACTGGGCTGTGCGCGCCCCAGACGCGCACCCCGCGAAGCGAGAGGAACCTGGCAACTCGCCATTCGCATCCTGCTCTCTGTGCCTGCCCCCTTCCCTCGGCTTCGGACGCAGTAATTGCCCGTGCCAACTTCGAAACGGCAAGGACGTCTTAACATGCCCTCACCTGCATCCGCTCGTTGCTGCGAGATTCTAGATGTAGCTCTCGGCGGGGTCGGTGCCCAGCGCCGCCCCGTCGGCGGCCTCGGCCACCTTCGTCGCCGCCGCCATGGACTTTTTTGACGTCGGCCACGTTGAATGTCACGCCGCCGAGCTTCATCCACTCCTGTTCCGACACCGCGCCCATCATCTCCGCGCTGCCGTTGTCATCGCACGAGTCGCAGCTGCATCCGCGGCTCATCCGTGCGACGCGGGGCCCGGGGCGGCCTGGATTGAGGGGTGGGCGGGTTGGGGCCCCCCAAACACTTGCAATTCAGGACATGGCGCAGGTGGATCGGGCACTGTTTCGTTGGCCTCGATGCCGCCGACAATTCACGCACCTGCGTTCTCCTTTTCTTCCTCCACCTCCACTGCGCCCGCTCCTGCTGCCCGGCACTCGATGGCATTGTGGCTGACGACGCCGCATTTCAAGTGGCTGCGCAGGTAACACTTGCCCTTGCCGCCATAGGCGCCCTTCCCGCCATGGCCCCCTGTGCCGCCTTAGTCGCCCCTGCCTCCAGAGACGCCCTTGTCGCCAGGGCTGCCCTTGTGCGTCCTCATTGCCGCCGTCGCAGGTGGCGTTACCAACGCCTTCGCCCGCTCCCTTGCCCCTGCCCTTATTAAGGCACTCGCGGGCGAAATGGTCATAGCCCCAACGCGTGTGGCATTGAATCTGAGGGCACACGGCATCGACGTTCTCCTCGCCACTACTCCAGGCCATCACCACCAACTTCTCCGATGTCCATGAGGGTCGGCCCCATGTTGACGGCGAATTTGTTGCCGACCATGGCCAGGGTCTTGTCCTTGAGCTCGTCGTGCTTCGCGTCCTTCTCGACGCGTCTGCACATGTAGTCCTGGATCTGCACGGGCATCATTTTCGTGAAGATGGCAGCCCGCATTCCGTTGGACAATTGCTCTTGGAACTAATCCGAAGAAAAGAAGGCATAAACATAAGCTTGTGGCGCTCTGCGCGGATTTCATCTATCCGCGCTGGGCGCCCCTCTCCAGCGCGCGGAGCGCGCGAGGGGCGGCGCTGGGGGCGCCGCCAGGGGGGGCCCCGCGCGGGTCCAAGAAATGCGCGCGGAGCGCCAGAAGTTTGTGTTTATGGCGTGTTCTCTTCCTCGGGAACTGGGTCTGGAGCATGTCCACCTTGTCCTCCCAGCGCTTGACCGCCGCCTCGATGTCGACGAGCTCCTTGACCCTGCCGGGCTTGACGATCTGGCCAAGCAGACGAACGCCACGGGCCATGGTTCGCCGGTTGCACCTGCGATGCAGCTTCTGAAAAGTCCCGATGCCCGCAATGCACACCCGCCGTCTTGATAATGCCCAGGGTCTCTGCGATGCAGCGCTGGCACAAGACATCGAAGAGCCCGTCACTCCGAGACCTGAGCTCCTTTGGAAACGCTGCCATTTTCGCCGACGTCGTCGGGGGCAGTCTCGGCCACGGCCTTGTAGACGTCGATGAGCTGCGCACGGACGCCTCGCTTGAGCGCGAAGGCACAAACTCCCCACTTCTCCAGCTGCCCAGAGAAAGTGCCGCAACGCATGTGATCGGCCAGCCCTGGGCGCCCTCCTCCATGCCGACCTTGCCCCTGCTGCGAAGTGATGGCCGCCGGCAACTGCTGGAACGGCTCGGCAGTCATAGCCATCGCTGCAACATACGGAAGATATCCGATCGCCCCTGGAAACACTTTCAAATAGCAAAGGGGTGTTCCGCTACCGTGGAAGTATTTTGTTGCCGACCATGGCCTGGATCTTGCCCTTGAACTCGTCGTACTTCGTGTCCTTCTCGACGCGTCTGTATATGTAGATCTGGACCTGTACGGGCATCATGTTCGCGAAGATGGCAAACCGCATGCTGTTGGACAACTGCTCTTGGAACTAATCCGAAGAAAACAGGGCATAACAATAAACTTGTGGCGCTCTGCGCGGATTTCATAGACTTGCGAGGGACACTCCTGTGCTGCGCGCGGAGCGCGCGAGGGGCGGCGCTGGAGGCGCCGCCAAGGGGGGCCCAACGCGGATCCAAGAAATGCGCGCGGAGCGCCAGAAGTTTGTGTTTATGGCGTGTTCTCTTCTTCGGGAACTGGGTCTGGAGCATATCCTCCCAACGTTTGACTGCCGCCTCGATGTCGACGAGCTCCTTGACCCTGCCGGGCTTGACGATCTGGCCAAGCAGACGAACGCCACGGGCCATGGTTCGTCGGTTGCACCTGCGAT